ATATAGAGATATACTAGTGAGGAATACTATGGAAATTAAATCCTTCCAGCAAATGAAAGAAATAAATGGTAATTTGACGTGGTTACACTACTTGCAAATGAAAGAATATATCAAGCAAGACAATAAGATAGGCTTCGCCTGGGAAGAGTCAACTTGGGACAAAATATTAAAGACGAATAAGAAAGTAATTTCAATTATTTATAATACACTATTAACCTGGCTAACGGAGTGCGAGCAAGTGAAAACATGTATGATAAAATGGGCCGAAAACATAAGAAGACCTATTCAATTTAGGGAGTGGGAGCAGATGTGGAACAAAAAATTGAAATATGTATATGCAACAGATTTAAAAGAAAACTGGATAAAAATGTTCCACAGATGGTATACCACTCCTAAGAAATTATCTTTAATGAACAAGAATACTTCTGATAAATGTTGGAAGGGTTGCCATCAAACAGGTACTTTTTATCATATGTGGTGGACGTGTAAAGAAATAGAGAAGTATTGGACGAAAGTACATGAAGAGCTACAAAAAATTTTGAAGAGAGTTTTTAAGAAGAAACCAGAATATTATCTATTGGGATTTACAGATTTGGAATTACAATTAGATGAGAATGAAGATAGACTATTTACCTATGCTACAACAGCGGCGAGAATATTATTGGCGAAGTTTTGGAAACAGGAAGATATCCCTACCACTGAAGAGTGGTTAGGGAAATTAAGAGAAATAAGAGAAATGGACGAATTAACTTTTTTCTTGAAAAAGAATACCGGGAACCCGATAAAGAGGACAGATTGGACTCTATATGAAAATTACGAAAAGGAAATAAATAAATAAGAGGAATACTATGAAGTGGATATAATGGAAATATCATTGAGGACACAACACCTGATGGAGAGATGGAAGTCAATTTTTATTTTATACTTTTTTTCCTTTTTTTTCTTTTTTTTCCCTTTTTTTTCTTTATTTTGTGTGGCTTTTATATTTTTGTATTCTTTTTTGGTGGACTTGGGGGTAGGGGGATGTATTTCTTACTTTTTTTCCTACTTTCCTATCATCTTTTTTAATATTCTCCCTCTTTCGATGTTATTTTTAAAACCTTCATAAAACTATTATATATAAAAAAAATTACCCCAGAACCGGGCCGCTGGAGCCTTTATCGATAGCTTGGCAAATTCGGCGCAGAAAGTATATTCCTGCTCGGGAAGGAGATAGATTTGTCCAACGATTTTTAATTAAAAGGATTGACTTTCCTGTTAACAAAAGAGGGAACGAAGGGCCCGGGCGGACAGGAGGGAGCGGCCAGGAGAAAGAGAAAGAGGAGGAGGAGGCCCTTCGGATCCCGGCGCCCCTTTTTGTCTGGCTCCGCTGGGATCTGCACGGGGGCATTGCTACCCCTTGGACAACCCCCTCGCCTTTCCTCACCTCCTGTTTAGCTTAAAATGGTGGAAAGGGCTGTGTTGATATTCGTCGCCTTCTCCTTTCCCCTCTTCACAATGCAATCCAGCGAGCAAAGAGGAGCGAGCGGGGCTTGGCTTCCAAGGCGCCTCCGAAGAGGCAAGGCAGGCCACGCTTTCCACGCCGAGGCTGGGCCCGGGATCAGGAGGAGAGGAAGGAAGGAGGGAAGGAAAGGGAAGGAGCGGAAGGAAGGCAAGAGAAGGGAAAGGAAGGAAGGAAGGGAAGAGAAGGGAAGGAAGGGAAGAGAAGGGAAGGAGGGAAAGGAAGGAAGAAAGGGAAAAGGAGGGGAAGGAAGAAAGGAAGACGTGAGGGAGGGAAGGAAGGAAGGAAGGAAGGAAGGAAGGAAGGAAGGAAGGAAGGAAGGAGGGATAGAAAGGAAGGAAAGGAAAGGGAAAGAGCCCGGGAAGATGGCGCCTCCCCTCCGCCATCCGGGCCAAGGGGAGAGGGCTTCCCTGACTTGAAACGTGGGCTTCTTTTTCTCCGCCTGGGCAGGGAAGCCCTGGGTTCCTTCCTGAGGCGGGAGAGAAAGGGAAAGCTTGCTCCCAGGTCCCGCCAAGCCCTCGTTTCTCCTCCTCCTCCTCCTCCTCCCTGCCCTGGGCAGCCAAGGCAGAGGCAGAGCGAGGGTTTGTTGTGGGGCGAGAAGCAAAGGCAGAAGCCGGAGCCGAGGCGGAGAAGGAGGAGGATGGGAGGAGGAGGAGCAGCAAGCATCTAGCCATCTTACGTATTTCCGAAATGGACGGAAATACGAGAGTATTTGGCGCATGCTGTTTCGATATTTAAAATACACTTCCGTGTTTGAAAATAATTTTGATATCGTTTCGTATATTGAATATTAACGAAAAAGTTAACGATATACAAAATTAACGAACGACATCGCCCAGCCCTACATACGTCCTTCTGTAAGGCTTCCAAATGTAGACTAAACTGAGTCCCTTTTCCCCTCCAAACCCGGGAAAAGGGGTGGATCTAAAGATCTAAACAATTGATGGGTCGTTGGCCCTATGGTTGCAAACTGAGGGAAGCTACCTTCTTGCTAAATGCATGGTCCAAATAAATTAAAGCAAACTAGCCATGCAAGAAAAAGAAATTCAAACTCCTGGCACAACTGTGCCAGCACATGTACGTTCATGTGTAGTGGCATATAAAAATACAATTAATCTCTAAAATAATGAAATTAAACTACATAGTCTGAACTCTAAATAGCAACATGAGAGAAGGGCCTTCAAACATGAATAATTTCTCAAATGGAACTAGATAATGCAAGCCTTCATCAGGTGGCCAATGAGAGTCTTCGGTTACTTACTATTTTTTCCAGACAACAGGCTGAAGTGTTATAAAAAGAAATACACAATTGTATTGAGACTCAACGTACAAACATTTACATAGAAAAACTTCAGTCCAAGTGTTAACCAACAGTATAGATTTAAAGAAAATATAAATGCCTCTTCCCCTTCACTCCACCCAGCCTAATGCCAACACCCACATTTTCGCCAGCCAGCCATTTAATTAGTTTAGCAGATTGGAAACTACAGGAGAGAAGTGATGGGGGGGGGGGCATGAAGATAGTATCCCACCCAAAACAAGTAATAAGTTAAAGGTTTCCCTGTGACATTAAGTCTATTCGAGTCCAACTCTGGGAGGTGGTGCTCATCTCCATTTCTAAGCTGAAGAGCCAACATTGTCCATAGACACCTCCTAGGTCATGTAACAGGCTGTGCAGTACCTATTGATCTACTCACATTTACATGTTTTTGAACTGCTAGGTTGGCAGAAGCTGGGCCTAACAATGAGAACTCACCCCATCCTGTGGATTTAGACTGCAAACCAACTGGTCAGCAAGTTCTGCAGCTTAGCCGTTTAACCTGCTGCACCACCATGGCCCCATGTTCATAAACTAAAGCAGTGCATACATATTTCATCAATAGAATGCCATCAATTATAAATATAAAAGCGTAATAATTTTTTTCCTATTTTAATATCTTTCCAAGGAAGATTTAAATACTAGAGGCAGTTAATTTAATCCACATTCATCATAACTCATATGTACATTGGTCTAGATCAGGGTGGGAGTTGTGTGGTACCATCAGAGATTGTTAAAGTGGAAATCTCAATAGCCTCTTTACCATAACTAATACCAAAAGATACAGAATTCCACCCACTATAAATACCATATACAAGTAGTTCACAAAGTCCTGCAGGTTCAGGTACATTGCTTAAGCGTAACTACAGCCCTATCTATCTATCTATCTATCTATCTATCTATCTATCTATCTATCTATTAGGGCTGGGCGGTTTTGTTTCGTTAATTCATAATTCGGTAAAAATTCGTTAATTTTTTAATTACGAAACGATAACGAACCATACTGGAGCATTTTTTTTAAAAAAACGAGTTTTCAAACACGCTTCGTAAATGCTCGTAATTTGTTATTGTATTCGTTTTGTTATTGTTCTGAGGTCGTTTCATTATTATTTCCGCATGTCTGGGGCAAGTTTTTTGTTTAATTAGTGAAAAAAAATTATAATATCACACCAACAGTCAATAACAGAGGGAGAGGGAAGCTTCAGAAGTTTTTGGAGGTTTTTTTAGCGTATTTCGCGGTCGCGTCCGCCATTAACGAATCGATTCGTTATCGTTTCGGAAATCGATTCGTTAATGTTTTGTAATTTTTTCACATTTACGAAATTTCGTAAATATCGAACTTTTTAAAAGGAAAATTTCAGAATTATTTTAAATATCGAAACGCAAAAAAACCCAAAAAACGAATCAATTTTAGAAACAAATTTTTCCGTGGTTACCCAGGCCTACTATCTATCTATCATCTATCTATCTGTTTCTCTTGGGATAGCATAGGGAAAAGTTGACACCCCTGTGGTGTTTGTTTGGTTGTCTGTGTCCCTGTTCAGAAGATTTCATGTGACTTTCTGTCCCTGTAGTAATTGGATTTTGAACAATTTGACTTGTTATGGAAACAAGGATTAGAGAGAAGGCTTCAGTGGAGACAACGTTTCCCGTTGATAACTCATTCAGCAGTTAATTTTTTTTCTGAGAGGTAGACTTCTTTCACTTCTTGTTGTCCCTCCCCCGTTCTTAATCATGAATCACTTGTAAGTTGGGTGTTTGAAATTCTTGGGACTGCCTGTATAAGCATAAAAGAATAGCATTTATTTTAATATCTTTCCAAGGGATATTTTAAAACTTGAAATGTGAATAAAGATAAGAGCCTCTGTTGAAGCAGAAACAACTGTCTGAAGTCAGTTAACTGGATGATAAGAAGCAAGTTGGCCAGCAAATTGCATTGATAAGATGTAGTAAAAGAGCACATCTCCCAAGGGTGGCTATTGCACAGGTAATTTCTCTTGCAAGCATGCCTTCTCTCTGCAAACACTATCGACATGTTATTAGACCAAAGTTATTACTTCAAATTGATTGGTGTTCATTGCATAAATGTCAAGGTTTCACACTATTTCCCTATTCTAGAACTAAACAACCTTTAACTCCTGCCTTTTTGTTGTTTGTTTTGCTTTGCTTTTAAATGGACAGACATTACCTGTCTCTAGGTGTAATGATAAATGCCGGTTGGGATTTAGTAAAAGAAAGAAGGAAGGAGAACAGTTTTGCTGTTATAATTGCTTTCCATGTCCAGAGGGCAAGATTTCCAACCAGACAGGTAGGAAACAAAATATTCTATATTTATCAGTAGAATCAGGCATGGAGAGGGGGGGGGGGGCTTTTTTAGCGAATAATGAAGAGTAGCTCCATAACACAAAATAATTTTAATAGTATGCATCATTCTATATTTTATATAGATTTAATTAAATCAATTTTCTATTTTTGTTACAGTTTCAAGTCTTAAAATAACTGAAAATGACTGTTAATTGGTAATTTATAGTTACAAAAGAATACCACAATGTCTGTTGGAAACACTTGAAAACTGTGTCAATACACTTTGACAGAAATCAGGCTCCATTGAAAAACTCCAGAGGACACTCAAGAGTACAAATCCAGTCAGATTTTCTTGCTCCGTCGTGCTTTTTATGTTTCCAAACATTTTAAGAGTTGAAAATGACCTATACATAGGCATAGCAATGGAAACCCTACATTTGTGGCAGAACTAGCTTGAATAGCCTGCACCTGCAGCTCTACCTCTTTCAACTGCCCCCATCAAATCTGGTCTCCTTCGTGAGGGCTTTACCTGCCACTTATGGGTGGGACAACTTGGTTGCTTTCACTATATCAACTATTGCTGCAAGTAATGACTGTGAATAAATTCACAGTCATTACTATACGGCTCCGGCCCTATACGTCTCTGGCCTAGGTTACTTGTCCAAACGTATCTCCCTCTACGTTCCGCCTCGTAGTTTAAGATCCACCGGGGAGGTCCTGCTCTCGGTCCACTGGCATCGCAAATGTGTCTGGTGGGGACAAGGGACAGGACCTTTTTGGTGGTGAGTCCCCGCTTGTGGAATTCGCTCTTCAGCGAGAATAGATCGGCGCCCTCCCTCCTTTCCTTTAGGAAAAAACTGAAATCATGGTTTTGGAACCAGGCTTTTAGAAGGCACAACGGCACTTTGGACATTGAACTTTTTTTTTTGTCGTGTCAGGAACAACCGCTCCTGTTGTGAGAGAATTGGCCGTCTGCAAGGACGTTGCCCAGGGGACGTCTGGATGATTTTTGATTTTTATCATCCTTGTGGGAGGCTTCTCTCATGTGCCCGCATGAGGAGCTGGAGCTAATAGAGGGAGCTCATCCGCCTCTCCCCGGATTCGAACCTGCGACCTGTCGGTCTTCAGTCCTGCCAGCACAAGACTTTAACCCACTGCGCCACCGGGGGCTCCTGGACATTGAACTGGACCATATGATTGTTATGATAATGGAAACAACTATTTGACTGTATAATTAATGTTATGTTTTTAATCTATTGTTTATTTATGGTTTTATATTGTTATATTGTGACTGCAGCATCGAATTGTTGCCAGTGTTAGCCGCTCTGAGTCCCCCCTCGGGGGTTGAGAAGGGCGGGGTAGAAATGCTGTAAATAAATAAATAATTTTTAAAATGACAAAATTTGCTTGAGATAGTGCTTGCAGTTCTGGGGGGACACATTTGATTTTTGCTTCTCATAGACTTAGCACGGGGATTTGGGTAACCATTTTAAATGCATGAGTAAACTAGTTTTTTTAACCTGATAAATTTGGTTACAGCCCTGACTACAAACGTATTATTCTTCATAGCCAGAATATCCTTCCAACGTGGTTGGCAAAATGATCAATTCTACCACTCTGTGCATGATTTGCTAAGAGCCATCTCAATGTGAAGGTTTCCAACTTGAAAAGTGCAAAACTGCAATTTGTAATGTGATATATTTCATAGAGAAGCCTAAAGGCATTGTAAAACTATACCTCACTGAATTTCATAACACTGAGCCATAGTAGTCAAAGCGATGACAAATTGAATTAATTTGACAGTCTTGAAGAACCCTTAGTCAACGGAGATGGGTTTTCCTTCTTCACATTGGACGTAGGATCTGGGATCATACTTGATTATGCTTTTTTGTAAATACATGCAATGACTTTCAAAAAATACAGACCAGGTTTTCAGATACTGAGATAGTTGGACTCGATATGCAAGACTCTCAGTAAATAGAGCTTTGGAGTCTTTTGCCAAAGTTAAAGCTTTCTTCTGTTTTTCAGACACGGATGCATGCTTTGAATGCCCTGGATATCAGTATCCAAACGATGACAAGGATGGATGTCTCCCCAAAGGTATTACCTTCTTGTCCTTTGGAGAACCCTTGGGGATCATTTTAACTGTGTTTGCTCTCAAATTTTCTCTCATCACAATCTTCATTCTGGGCATCTTCATGAAGTACAAGGACACTCCCATTGTCAAAGCGAACAATAAGAACCTCACCTACATTCTCCTGACTTCCCTCCTGCTTTCCTTCCTTTGTACTCTGCTATTCTTTGGCCGACCTGGAAAGGTGGTATGCCTCCTTCAACAAGCTGCTTTCGGCATGATTTTCTCAGTGGCGCTGTCTTCCATTTTGGCCAAAACCATCACCGTCATTCTAGCTTTTATCGCCACCAAGCCAGGTTCCAGGATAAGGCAATGGATGGGGAAGAGATTGACATATTCCATTGTTGTTTCTTGCTCCCTTTTTCAAGCTACTATTTGTAGCATCTGGCTGATCACCTCTCCTCCATTCCCAGACCTTGACATGTACTCAGTGACTCAAACAATTGTACTCAAATGCAATGAAGGTTCAGGCGGTATGCTTTATGCTCTTTTGGGTTTCATGGGTTTCCTCGCTCTTGTCAGCCTCACTTTGGCTTTCTTAGCCCGGAAGTTACCCGACAGTTTTAATGAGGCCAAGTTTATCACCTTCAGCATGTTGGTCTTTTGCAGTGTTTGGCTGTGCTTCATTCCAACATACCTGAGCACGAAGGGCAAAAATATGGTGGTTGTGGAGATTTTCTCTGTCTTGACTTCCAGTTTTGGTTTATTGGGCTGTATCTTTGCACCAAAATGCTACATTATTTTAGTGAAGCCTGAGCTGAACATGAAGGAGCAACTAATAAAAAGAAGAAATTAAAGAGTTGCCTATATTCAGTTACAAATATTGATGCCCACCATTAAATGCTATTCTGCTTACTAGTGCATAATTAGAAATTAGAGATATGATTTTCCAAGGTATTATTCTCAGTTGAAAGAGACCTGCTTATCATATCTATGTGAAAAAATGGAGCTTCTAATGTGAATAATTAAGGGGAACAATCCCATTGTACAACTCAATCTGGAAGGGCAAATGCTACTCTTGTATCATTTTATTAACATTTTTAAAACTTCAGAATACATATATGAAGCTTCTACCAATAACAAAATATTGGGCATTTTACACCAAAAACAGTTGGAAGTTCTCCATTAATGAATACATCAGATTCAAGAATATCCATTACTACTAGGAAATATTACTGTGCGATGTGGGAACAACAATCAACATTGTTAAATATTGACGGTTTTCTTTGTCTCGATCTGCATAAATGGCTCAAAAAAATAAAAATATGATTTATCCTCACATTTATTTATTTATTTATTTATTTATTTACAGCATTTGTATACCGCTTTTCTCACCCCTAGGAGGACTTTGCTTTGCCAGGTGTATTTTAATTTAAAATAAATGATAGCATACATTGCTCTGCTGATCAAATGTCTGTACTCGAACAACCATATTCAGGTTAGAACGGGAATCAGTGGAGCCCTGACAAAGAGAATAGATTCCTGCAAAGGTGTAAGACAAGGATGCTTATTGGCTCCTTTACTTTTCAACCTTTACATCAATGACCTGCCAGATTCCCTCAGCAGCTCTGATGTTCATATGCCAAAAATTGGTAACAGACATGTTAACACTCTTTTATACGCAGATGACATGATTTTGATGTCAAATACGCAAATAGGATTACAAAGATTACTGAGTAAACTTAACACCTATGCCCATAAAAACAAGCTGACAATAAACAAATCCAAGTCAAAAATAATGGTGTTCGGAAATCGCCCATCCAAACACAAATGGGTTCTTGATGCAGAGCGCATAGAACAGGTTAGTTCTTTTACATATCTAGGCTTGGTATACTCAGAGACAGGCTCATGGCTTGCACACTTCCAATCTTGTGCAATCAAAATTAGAGCACGCTGTAACACACTGGCAAGATTGCTATCTCATAGATATCCCGGATCTTTATCTCCGATAATCAAAGTTTACAAAGCAAAAATTGTCCCCATGATACTATATGGAGCTGAAATCTGGGTCCTAAGCAAATTCCCAATACTGGAACAAGAACAATCTAAATTTCTAAGACAGATACTTGGTGTTGACATTAAGACCGCTGCCGCTGCAGTCAGAGCAGAGCTAGAAATATATTCTATCGAAGGACTCGCCAAAATCAGGGCCTTTAATTTTTGGTCTAAAATAAAAAATCTCGAAGATAATAGACTTCCAAAACTGTGCTATTTAGAACAATCTAATGGCCAAAACCAAGCTTCCTGGTCAGAACAACTGACAAGGTTCCTCTGTATCTGCGGATTACAAATTGCTTCCTTAGGCCAGAACAGGGACGCTGAAAAAAGAACTGTAACTCAAAGGGTCTTAGATATTGAAGCCCAGAAAGATATAGCTACCCTGTCAAACACAGGATTCCTGAAGTGGTTAGGGCGCTTTAAACATAATTTCCAGCGGGCGCCATACCTGAAAGCTGACATGCCAAGACACCTGAGAAGGGCAAGATTTGAACAAATTGAATCCATGGAGAGACACGGCAGATTCCATCATATCCCATATGAAGAGAGACTATGTATCTGTGGAGCCCCTGAGGTTGAAAATCTGAACCACATTTTACATAACTGCAATCTGTATAAAAAGGAAAGGGAAATATATTTATGGCCTTTCATTTACAATAAAATAAGCTGGGATACAGCGGCTAAAACCTCATTTTTGTTGGCTGGTTTTAACCCCACTCTGACAACACAAGTTGCCCTTTATTTGTTTAAGGCTGCTAAAAGGAGATCAGAGTTCATAGATCAGATTGGGGTGCAGTGTAGGGGAGACGAGGATAGTTGAGGCATATATCTAGGGCTAAGCTATATTGGTTTTAAGATGATAAATTCCTATATATTTGTATTTTATTTTAATAGGATTAAACGTATGTTGTATGTTGTATGTTGTTTTTCCGCTGTCTGTTTTTGATAAGGCCAACTGGCTAATCAATAAAAATTGTTGTTGTTGTTGTTGTTGTTGTTGTTGTTGTTGTTGATAGCATACATTGCCCCTTGAATGCTATCATTTATTTTAAATTAAGAATCTTACATCAAGAAAGAGAGCAAGAGTACCTTTCTAGGACCATCAAGTAAATTATCTTCAAAAATAAACACTGACCAACATACATTTTGGTACCTCACATGTAACCCTGTTTCTGAATATATTTGACCTGCTGATTCAGTGTAAATGTGTTCTACTATTATAGCTAGTTTCATTCTGATAGTTCGAAAAATGAGGGAGAAAGGAGCACTTCTCCACTTGCATAATTACATAATGAAAAAGTAACAATAATTCCTAGGTTCTTTTTTTTTTAATTTTTATTTTCATTTTAATAGAAGAGTACAGTGAAAGAGGGGGAACAATGTGTTGTTAAGGATAAGCAGGAAAGAATAGTCTAAAGTAAACTAAAGTAGAAAAAAGGGGGGGGCTGAGCGGAAGGGCGGTGGGGAAAGGAGATGTGGAGGGACAGGGGAAAGAGGGGGAGTTGTTGGCTTCCGGTTCGGGTCACAGGGAGTAAATCCATTTGTCTAGTTACTTTTTCTTTAATGTCTTTAGTCATTTTTCTCTTGTATTAATTGCTATGTCCTTCATCTCTATAATTGAATTTGCATTTCTCCCTGCATGAACCTTTTTAGAGGTTCCCAGTCCATTTGTTTGTTCTTGATTTTATTACTTAGATGTTGTGATAAATTGTCCATACTCATATAGTTGAGGATTTTGTTTATCCAGTCTTCAGTTTGTGGAGAGCTTTTTTCTTTCCATTTTTGTGCAATTGTTGTTCTTGCTGCGGCTGTTATGTAAAAGAAGATCCTCTCTTCATTTTCGGTTAAGTTTAGGTCTGTTATATTTAGAAGGTAAAACTCCGGTTTCATTTCGAATTTCACACTGATGATTTTTTGGGTGTATTTATGTATTGTTGACCAATATTTCTTAATTATTTTGCACCCCCACCACATATGGAAGTGGGTGCCTAGCTCCTTTTCACATCTCCAACATCTATTGCTGTAATTTTTGTTGAACTTAGATAGACATGAGGGTGTCCAGTACCATCTAAAATAAATCTTATACCAACCCTCAACTATATTTGATGCTTTTGTGAATTTTAGTTTCTTTTTCCACACAGTTTCCCAGTCTTTCAATAGTATTGAATGGCCTATGTCGAAAGCCCAATTCGTCATATTTTCTTTTACTCTATCCTTTTCCAAGTCCCACTCCAGCAGAGTTTGATAGAGCAGTTTTATTAATTTCTGATCTTTCTTCATTACTCTGTCCCACTTTGATTCCTTGGATACGAAGCCCACTTTTCGATCTTCTTTAAAACATTCCTTGGTTTGCCAATAGTGGAACCAACTCAAAGTTCCTTATTTCTTCTAGTGGTTTCAGTTCCCAGATGTTATTGCTTTTTTTTAGTAGTTTGGAATAGGAGTGCCAGTTTTCACATGGGATTTCTTTCCTATGAAACGCCTCGGCAGGTGATACCCACAGAGGTGTTTTATCATAGAAGAAGGGTCTATATTTATCCCATACCTTCAATAAGGGTCCTCTAATATAGTGGTTTCTGAAACTGCTCTCAACTTTGGCCTTGCCATACCAGATGTAGGCGTGCCATCCTCTTCTGAGGTCCCACCCCTCTAAGGTCAACATCCTTTCATTCTGTAAGGTTGCCCAATCCTTGATCCATGACAATGCGCACGCCTCAAAGTAAAGTTGTAAATTGGGTAGTGCCAGGCCTCCCCTATCTTTGGTGTCTGTCAGTATTTTAAATTTTATTCTCGGTTTTCTGCTGTTCCAAATAAATTTTGTTAGGTCTTTATTCCAATTATTAAATTGTTTCCCTGATCTTAAAATGGGGATTGTTTGGAACATAAATATCATTTTTGGCAGAATGGACATTTTAATGACAGCAATTCTACCCAAGAGGGAAAGCTTGAGATGATTCCAGTTGTCTAATTTTCTCTTAATATTCTTCCAAGCATTGTCGTAGTTATCTTTCACTAGGTGTGAGTTGGTGTTAGAAATTATTATCCCCAGGTATTTAAATTTTTTAACAATTTCATACATTGTTGTCTGCTGTAATTTGGCAATTCTGTCTTTAGAGATGTTTTTTGTTAGTATTTTAGTTTTGTCCTTATTGATCTTAAAGCCTGCTAATGCCCCAAATCTCTCCACTTTCTGAGTCCATTTATGAATGGACTCCAAGGGTCTCTCTATAATGCAGACAACATCGTCCGCGTACGCTCTTATTTTAAATTCCTCTGTTCTTATCTTGGTTCCAATTAATTCTTTATCTTTTCTGATGTTATCCAATAACAGTTCCAGAGACATTATAAATAATAGCGGAGAGAGCGGGCAACCCTGCCTGACTCCTTTTTGTATCTTTATTTTATCTGTTTCCAATCCATTTATCAAAATTTTGGCTGTTTGTTTGTTATATATAGCTCTCACTGCACAGAGAAAACTATAACCAATGTCCACTTCTTTTAAGACTTCCTTCATGAATTCCCAGCTGGTGTTATCGAAGGCTTTCTCTGCATCCAAAAAGAGAAGCCCAACCTCCCTCTGTGGGTTCTTTTCATAATATTCCATTAAGTTCAGTATTATTCTGATATTATCCTTTAATTGTCTTTTAGGGAGGAAGCCACATTGGTCTTCCTTTATTCTTTCCCCTAATAGATTTTTCAGCCTCTCTGCTAAAATGCTAGTGAAGATCTTATAATCACAGTTCAGCAGTGATATGGGGCAAAAGTTCCTCATGTTGTTCAAGTTAGAATTTTCTTTTG